CCTATTGGTTAGTTATTCTAAGTATTTATTTACCTTAATTTAGGTTTTATAGTTTTTATAGTTTAAGGCAGTTTTATAATATATATCCTAGTTAGTTATAGTTTAGCACTTGCACTTAGATATATCTCTTCCTGGATTATTTAGTTATATAGCTCCTAGGGCTATAGGTCTAGGTTATATTCTATGCGAAGTATTATTTTACTATTATTATTGGTTTTAAGAGTTATTCTTATTATAACTATAATTATTTCCGTGGTTATTATTATTGCAGTATTAATTTAGAAAGTAGGGGTTATAATTGCTTTCCTTCCTTATAGCATTGGCTTTCTCTCTCCTGCGTTTATACTATTGCTTATTGATTTTAATGGCTATAGTGATATACTCTGTAAGATTATTAGGTCTATCTGCCTTATAAAGTTTATCTTTAACTTCTTCCTTTAGGCTATAGTAATAAATTTCTATAAGTACTTTATTATCCTAATTTATTTTAGCGGCAAGTTATTAAAACTTAGCGGAGTATACTGCATATAATCCTTGCTATTTAAGACTAAGGATTTCAGCGGCTACTTATTATTCTTTATTAATTATATTAAAGTTATCCTTTAGGAGTGCTTTAAAGTTAAGCCAGTCTGCGAATATATTCTAAGTTTCCTAGTCTTGCTAATTATAGTTATTTTCCAGATAGTCCTTCTAGAGGGGTTTAAACCAGTCTTTAATATCTCCTTAGATTAATAGTATAGTATATAGTATCTTCTTTACTATAGTATCTAGTTTAGTAGGGAATAGCTTAAAATATCCTTTTATATAGGTAAGGAATAATAGGATATCTACTGCCTTTCCTTTAAATAGCTTTAGGGTTAAGGGCTTAATAATTTCTCCTAGGTTATATTAATTATTAATAGGGTTAACCGGTAATGCAGGCAGAGGTTATTTATTTACTCTCCCCTATAGGGTTTATATATTATTTCTAAGCTATTAAAGCTTAGCTATTATTTTAGCTATACTAGGAGGTAATCCTATATAAGGTAATATCAGTCTATTATTATTAGTATTAATAGATATTATAATAGTATAGTAATATTACTTAGTATTTATATAATATATTCTAAATAAGAGCTATTAATATATAATAATTAGGTTTTCTAAGGGATAAACTAGTCTATTCTAAGTTTATATTAGCAGAGTTATAAGGCATATAATATTAAGTAATTATAAAGTATTATATCTCTTAATAGTAAATAAGGCAGGTTAGGCATATTCAGGTAAAGATATTTTATTAATAGCTATTAAGCTAAGTATACTAACTAATACTAAATAAATATATATATATTAATATCTAATATAAGGGGAGCAATAATAAGTTAGGTTATTATTAGTCCTAGAGCGATGCAATCCTAGAGCGCCGTTGATCTATATGAATATTGGTTTATTATTAATTAGATAATTACATTAGGAAATATAGGGATAAGAAAGCGAAAATATAGGGTATACATGAGATAACCGCTTAGGTTGTAATAATTCACTATTAAGAGATATAACACTTTATAATCGCTTAGTATTATATACCCTATAACTCTGCTAATATAAACTTAGAACGGACTAGTTTATCCCTTAGAAAACCTAACTATTATAAAAACACTTAATTAATACCTAATAACTCTTAAAGAACTTTCACTAGTCTCGCCAGAAAATAAAGGGTTAAAATTAAAATTACCTAGCCCTAAGGACTCCCAGTCTAGGTTCTTAGTATTTAAGGAATGCAGCTCTTTAATAGCCGCTTCCTTATAATAGCTTAACTCTTTAACTAACTTATCTTTACTATTTAACCCCTAAATACTATAATATAATTTAGAGGTATAATGCTCTTTTAACTTAGTTTTTATCTTTTAAATATAAGATAAATAACTAGCTATAATAGCTATATAAGCTTATAATAAAGCTAATTCCTTATAAAGTTTTAGAAGATCTTTACTAGCCTTTTCCTTATTATCCTCTAACTTCTTCTCCTAGGAAATTAATTTCTATATTAAAGAAGTTAATAAATAAAAGGAATTATAAAAAACACTAATAAATCTTATATAAAGAAGCCACTTAAGTGCTATTATATAAGTAACTACAGCAGATATACTTACTGCATTATAAAAAATCCACTATTATAAGATAATCCTTTTAATATTTAAAATAATAAGAATAAGGCAATCCGCGAATTTGCATAATAATTTAATAGCCTTAGTAAGAAGTTTATACTCTTTAGTCTTATAGTTAATACTCTTTATAATATAACTAGATATTTTATTAGGAATATATAATAAGAATAATTATAAGTAGATTATACTTATATAGGATTACTATGCTCTAAGAGTACCTATAATCTAGGATTACTATAATCCCTAGAACTAAGTAATCCCCTAAGAATCCCTTAACTATATATATATTTACTTAGTATTAATTAATATACTTAGCTTAATAGCTATTAATAAAATATCTTTATATAAATATACTTAACCTGCCTTATTTACTATTAAGAGATATAATACTTTATAATCGCTTAGTATTATATGCCCTATAACTTTGCTAATATAAACTTAGACTGAACTAGTTTATCCCTTGGAAAAACCTAACTGTTATATATAGAGCCTTAGCCAGCGAGCCCTCCCTAGAGGTCTAGAAGGAACCCTTAATAAATAAGGCAACTAGTCTATAGGCCAATATAGCGGTTACTATAGGGAATAGCCGCTATTACTATGATATTCAGATCGTGGCTATAGTAAAGGATTCAGCTAGATCTGACCCCTATGAGACCCTTCGAGAGGCTGCAGAAGAAAAACGACGAAAATACAGGACCCTAGGGGCCTTCTTTCAGCCTTTTATTATCTCAGCAGCCTCTATTAGCAGGGAAGCCCCTAGAGGGATAGCTAGTTCCCTCTGGAATCCCTCTAGAAGGGACCCTTAAGGCTAATCTTAGCCTTATCCTTTCCTATAAGCTATTACCTATAATAGCTACCTTTTCCTTATAACTCTCCTTATTTCCTTATCTCTCTTTATTTTATTCTATTTACTTTACCTTATTTCTTTTCCTTATTCCTTTTCCTTATTCCTTTTCCTTATTCCTTTTCCTTATTCCTTTTCCTTATTCCTTTTCCTTATTCCTTTTCCTATAGCTAGCTTTATTTTCCTTATTTTCTCTATTTTTTCTATACCTTATAGCAGTTATAACCTTATCTCTTTTCCTTTTCCTTATACCTCCCTTATAGCTATAGTTATTTCCTTTCCTTATACTATATATAGTCCCTAGAAAAGCAACTAGGCAGATAGCTTAAATAGTTAATACTACCCTAATTTAACCCTAAGCAGGTAAGGCATATTTAGGTAAAGATGTTTTATTAATAGCTAGTAAGCTAGGTTCTATCTAATGCTTAAAGAGTATAGCTATTTATATTAATCTAGAGATATAAGGCAATAGGTATTATTATTATACTAGTCTTTAGACTGAGATATAAAGTTAGTAGTCCTAGACTAATATAAAGTTATTTAGTCCTTATCTGATTAGTTAGAGCTTAAGGACTAAGAATTAAACTTTCAGTCCTGTTATAATTAGTATAAAGTGAGTGTAAAAGTGGGTTATATTAAAGTGGAAAAGTGAGAAAGTGGGGTACATATAACCCGGTCGTAACACTATTCCTCAGTCTTAAAGTAAGAGCCCTGGTTATATTATTATATTCTAAACGATAATGCTATACGCTACCTTTAAGCATGCAGGAGGGGTTAATTTCAGCTAGACCCCAATCAGCATTGGCGCCATAGTTAGGTATCATCAAGAGGCGATTTTAGTTAAATCGCCCATTAAAAATAGGGTTGCGGGGTAGTAAGATTTAGTCTACATCGCTTTAGTTAAAGCGAGTATTTAATTGGTTTGAGATAGTTCTAGCCCCACACTTGGTCTTGGTATGATGGAGGAGTGGAAAAGCTATAGGGTAAATGGCCTCCTGCTAATCTTCCAGTCTAAGTTTAATTACCTTTTAAAATTAACCTAGGCTGTCACTTTTGAGATTAGGCATGACAGATGCCGCGCTGCCTGCGATGGCAAGTGACTGCCCTTACACTCTTGTGAGACCAAAGAAAGGTCCCGATCTCCATGTAGGCGTTGCGTAAGTCACATGCAATCCCGCAGCTGAAAACTTCGTTTTCATCCCCCACGTAGCAGCACCTGATTGGTTCTTTCTACCACCGGCCCTGTCGGTGACTGCCTGGCGTGTTTGCCATCGAACTCTGCCAACTCTTTATAAGCAAAGGATCCTCAAGTGTGTTCCTCATGTGCTCCTCACACTAAACCGGCAAGAAGTGTGAGCACAAATCGAAAACCTCATTAAGCTGAACACCGCGAATTTCTGCAGGGTCAGCCAAGATTGCACTAGTTATGATCTTGTGCGACATAATGCTAATACCTTTTATTTCAGATCGTGAACTCGTTCATCTGGTCGGCGATTTCTAAAGTTCCGGAGCCGAAAACAGACATTGTGGCGTTGTAGTAGGACTCCTTCACCGCATATTTCTACTCATCAACGAGCCACGTATTTCCCCTTGTACTCGTCTTGATTAACTTGAGCAACAACGTTCGGCAATGCGTTCACGAGCTAGGCGAAATGACAGCGATACCTACTGTGGACCAATTGCCGTCTTTCATAGACACCGCCTCATATTTAGCAAACGACCGATTTCAATGTATTTGGTATTTACCTTACAAAAAGAGATTCTGTAAGGTTCAGATCACGCCAAAAGATAATCAAAGAGCGCTTCAGGGGGCGAAAGGTGTTTGGGAATCACGCCTTGCGGCGACATCAACGCTTCAAGACTTGGCGACAATTGCTGAGGATTGTTGCTGCGCTCGCCACCACCGTAATAAAATATGGGGAAGCGGTCTAGCAGGGGAGTTGGCTGATCGATGGCAAAATGAGATACGAAATGCCTTAGGTCTTACGACTCACGGAAGAAATCTAAGCATGAAGACGGAGGGCACGAAAACGTCAGTTCCCATCACATTTGCCAAACACCAGGTTCTAGAAGAGGAAACATTGCTGTCAAAACTGCAATCACCTGTTGATCCTCGGGCATGCAAAACTGGTTCTTTGTATTTTTACACCCATGCAAACGATGTCTTTGGTGGCATGATCAAGATAGGGTACACCAGCCGGACGATAGATTCTCGACTACATGAATGGGCTGAATGTGGCAATGGCTATCCAGAACTCCTCTACTCTCTTTCCGACGTGCGACATCCAGAACGTGTCGAGCTGTTGATACACTTCGAGTTCGTGGAATGGTGGTATGCACAGAGATGGTGCGAGCATCATCGCAAAGCCCATATTGAGTGGTTTAAAGTCGACTTGGATAGAGTGCGAACAGTTGCGCGTCTCTGGTGCCAGTGGATGCAGGACGCCAACCCATACGACAGGCGCGGCCGCCTCACGGCTCTTTGGGCGGGACATATCGAGTTCTTGGTTCAGCATGAAAATCCAATCACAGCCGGAGCAATGGTTCAAATTCAGAAAATAGAAGAAGGATCAGACGAGGTGTATGAGTTTATCGACGACAAGGTGCTGCGCAAGAAACAAGACGTTGTAGTGAAGGAGGAAGTCAAAGAAGCTTAGGGTTTGGATAGGGTAGTATTAACTATCTAAGCTATATTTGCCCAGTTGTTTTCCGCTACTATACAGTATAAAAGATAGGTAAGGAAAGTAGATAAAGAGAATAAAGGAAAAGAGACTAATAAGAGGTAAATAAAGGTTAGCTATAATGCTATAGGAGCCTTATAAAGCTATTTTCCTTTAGCTTATAGGAGCCTTTAGAGAGCCTTTTCCTATAGCAATAGGGGACCTAGAGATAGCAAAAGGTAGTTTTATAAACGGCTAGTCTCTGGATCCTCTATAGCTTAGGGGGCTAGCTTCTATAGGGTTAGCCTAATAGCCTGAGGATTAGGGTTAAGATAGGGTAGTATTAACTATCTAAGCTCTATTTGCCCAGTTGTTTTTCTTCTACTATATAGTATAAAAGATAGGTAAGGAGAGAGGTATAGAGTATAGAACTAGGAAAATAAGGAAAAAGCTTAAAGAGGGATAAGAGATATAGGAAAGCCTATAAAAGAGAGATAGAAAATAAAGAAATAATAGGAAGGAGAGAGAGAAAAGAGAGATAGCTATAGAGGAAAAAAGGTAGAAAATAGGGAAATAAAAGTAATATAAGAAAAAGAAGTGGAAAAAGGAAGGAAAGAGAGAAAAGGAATAAGTCAAGGAATTATAGAAGGGTTCTAGCAAGAAGATACTAACCCAGTAGGGGTATCCTTGCTAATAGAGGCCGCTGAAAAAGCCCTAGTCTTAGTAAGAGTTAGGGTTAGATTAGGGTGGTATTAACTATCTAAGCTATCTGCCTAGTTGCTTTTCTAGGGACTATATACAGTATAAGGAAGGGAAATAACTATAGCTATAAGGAAATATAAGGAGAGGAAAAGAAAATAAGGCTATAACTGCTATAAGGTATAAAAAAGGAAGAAAATAAAGCTAGCTATAAATAAAGAAAGTAAAGAAAATAAAGAGAAGGAATAAGATAAAGTAGTAAAGTATAGAAATAGAGTAAAAAAGAAAAAAGAAAAGAGAATTAAGAAAGTAAAGGAAATAAGAAAATAAGGAAAGTTATAAGGAAAAGGTAGCTATTATAGGTAATAGCTTATAGGAATAAATAAGGCTAAGATAGGCCTTAGGGGTCCCTTCTAGAGGGATTCCAGAGGGAACTAGCTATCCCTCTAGGGGCTTTGTTCTAATCAGCACTGCTACTGCTGTATATAGGACAGCGTTAAATCAACTCTACTAGGTTTAAATTGGGTCAATAAAATCAACTCTACTAGAGTTAACTTTAGACTGTAGTACCAGGTGCAGCACCCTATCAACTGACTTTGTTCTCGTATCTCAGAGGATAACTTGAAAAGGTAGTCAAGAAAAGGTGCGGGGTCATATAAGGACGCCTTAATGACGAAAGCAATATAAACTTTCGCCGGGTCGGAATTAAACGGCTTAGGTCACCATGACTTCATCCCGATTCTTGATTTGCACGTCTTTATAAGTTAACGTAATCATGCGACTGGCCTTTTATATACGGTTACATAATGCTTGTGGACTAGTACCGTAGGATCTCGAGAAACTCGGACACTCTAGCATCGCCACAAAACTCAGTATCAGCCAATTAAACAACGGTAACTCAACGGTTTAGAGGTTAAAAAGTGGAAAAGTCCTACGGTACTTTCTTCATGCCACACTCCGACCGAGGCCAGTTTTATGCCACCTAGGCGGGGAGATTTCATTTCTTCCACTATATAGACAGACATTCATTCACCTTGGCTGCCACCATCGACAAGCATCCCAACAGCACGTTTCTGTCTCTAGGGAGCAGTTCATATTAAGGGTTTACGAATTATCAAATCGCCTCTAATGTGTCGATAGGCAATACCAATGTCGCGGATAATACCAATACCCCCAAGGCAATCGGACATCGAGACTGGCCGGGGGACACCCTCGACGCTAGAGCAACGACCGTGTGAGAACGAGATTTACACGTACAACTGCCACGCTAAAAGCCGACATGAGGACAGCGAATGCAAAAAGAGGAAAATAGATTGGTGCAGTAGTCTTGGGCGGTGCTGCTTCGGAAAAAGAATGACACTTCCCATGTATCGAAGCCACAACACGTTCGCCGCTCAGAACGTTGAAGGGAATTTATTCAAAATTCTAGCCCAGGAGTGCATGGAACAGATTTACGATGATAATCCCGATGCAAAGTTCGGATCTGTCGCAGTACTCTCATTTGCTAGACTACACCATATCAACTTGCACTATTTCGAGGTGGAGTTAGCGGCAGACCTTGCCGACATCGTGGACAAAGGGACTACGACCAGAAAGCAATTGCTTGAGATCAGGACGAGATTACGGGATTATGGTGAGGATCTTCGCTTATGAGCACTCATGAAAAATTGTCTTAACTAAGTGAGCAGGCGCGGCAATTGCAGATTATGAACGCGTGTTAAAACATTGGCATCAGCCCCCAAAGGAGCAGCTGACAGCGTTCCACAAGACCATTCTTCCGCAAAGGTTTAGGGAACTAATCAAACAAGATCGCTGCAGTTGGGATAATGCATATATTCCGTTAAGATCGGACAACCCACGACTTGTCGGCTTTATCGGCCGCGTGTTGGCGGCAGTTATGGGGGGCCTCGCACTCGTCGTACCAATGCTGATAATGGCCATACCTGGGGCTCCTGTCAAGAACTTAGTTACCACGCCTATTGCCATAGTCTTAGTCGCCGTTTGCATTGCATCATTGTCGCAAGGCTCCTGGAGAGATGTTTTGGGAATGACAGCTGCGTATGCGGCTGTGCTCGTTGTATTCGTTGGTGTTGACAAACCGAAATGTTGTGGCGAGAGTGGTTAGGAGATGAGACCGCTGCCATCCTGGTCGCGGCCTATCATTGCGTGCCGGCGGAGGCAACGTCAACTCCAGATAAAATGCAACTCATTTGCCTAAGAACAAGATCTTAAATCAAATAACCTACTGTAAGAAGGGTTGCGCATGTCATCTGATTAAACATAACAAATTTGGCCCCTGCAAGCACTTACGGCCTAACAAGAATTGTTATCGTCCCTTGATCTACCCGTTGGCACATGTAGGCTTTGGGGGCCCAGGCGAGCCAGCCTACTTGCGACGAACATGTGGGACATCGGAGATGTAACAGGTCGGATTGCGGGACGGGTTTTCGGAAAAAACCGATCAAAAACCGCCAAGCCCTTGACATCACCAAAAAGGGCGGTGATTTTCACGGATCTCAGTATTCATCGACGACCAAGGCACGCATGAGCATAAAATATGACAAATAGGCTCGCTTAGTTGAGCTGGACGAAATGACACCTCGCTAAAGCTGTGCGTCCGTCTCGCTGTTGATTTGCGCGCGTTTCTGGTCATCGCCTTTTAAGTTATGACCGTCTTTGGGGTACATCCTTTCAAATTTTCCGGTGACTGTCCCCGTCAACCAGTCAGGACAGGTTATTGTCCTTCAGGCAACTGACAGAATAGTTGGAGCTACTATCATTGCGAGGCTGGGATACACCGAGCACACCATAAACCCCATGGCCAGTTCATTTAAGAAACTGGCCAAACTCGCTGACAAGGACGCTCTGAAGAGTGCTCGGATTCCAACAAACATTGTTGCTGGTGGTGTCAGTGGAGAGTCCAAGACAGAGTCACTGGTTACATCTGATCTACAGGGACCTGGCGTCCCGATGACTGCAGACAGTATCAAGCTGTTAACCGATGCTTATAAGAAGCATGAAGCTGATGCTCGTCACTCATCGCTCCGTATGGTTGCTTCAGTGACTTCAAACATGGCCATTTCACAGGGTACCACAGCATTTGGACTTGGTGAATCCATCACCGTGGCAGCTGGTGACCTGTTCAACTGGCTCAGAACAGGAATCGAGAAGGTTGTCAACATCACCAAGAGTGCCGCCACAGGCTTCTGGGAGTTTGTCGTCCAAATCGGCAAGGTCGTTTATCGTGCTGTGCTTAACATAATCGAAGCTGTCGTTGGAGTTGTTGAGTGGGCTTTCAACAAGACCAAGACTGGAGTCGAAAAGGTCATTCGATACGTCGAGTTCTTGTTAAAATGGGATGACATACGTCGTACAAAGCAGGTGGCCCACAACTTGGTTAAATATTACCTCTATGAGATGGTATCTGGCATCGAAACAGCTAAAGAAGCATTTGACGAGTGTATGGATAGTGCGCAGAAATCAGTAGCCGAATGACCCGGCATCAAAGACTATTCAGCCCTGGGCGGTTCAGCCTCAAAACCACCTTCAGGAAATGCCACAGATCCAACCAAGGACCAGACAGCCGGTTCACAGATAATGGCAAGCCATTTCAGGAATCAAGCCGACAGAATCAGCATTTAAAATGGAATGCCTAAAGCAGATTTGGTTCAAGGCTTAGTTAATGACATGATTGCAGCTATGGAATCACAGGGAATGGTCTTTCTGCAAATCTACCAGTAGCTCAAGGACCTCGCCCAAGACTTTTTGAAACTCCCTCTGACTGATATTCTTAAACGACTGACCGGGATTATCGTTAAAGCTGTGCTGAGAATAACTAAAGTTATCGTCGATGCCATGTTGGATGTCTTGTATAGACTCGCCGGTACTGTCGTTGAGGTCCTGGACGCCAAGATTCACATCCCCATCATATCAGACATTCCCAACGCTATTGGAATTCCTGATATTTCCTTCCTTGATTAATTCACCTGGATCGGTGCCGCGGGAATCACCATCGTTTTCAAGATCACACAAGGCCACGCTCCATTTCCAGACAACGCTTCAACTTGGGCTTTAATTAATGCCCACGACTGGCCATCGTTCTCTGCAGTCTTGAAACAGCCAATCTTATCATCTGACGAGAACGATAACGGAGCTTTTGATTCACGTATATCGCTCGATATAGGACAACTCATTTACCCTGCAGGCCATGCCCTGGCCGGCTTCGTCGCCTTCACGGGAAACTTCCTGTTCTTTACTGAGGCGATGGATATAAGCCCTGCGAATGTGTTCGGTGTGCCCTCAACCACCATGGGTGTGATCGGTGCTCTTGCAGCTGGCGGCGCAGATGTCCTGGCTGCCAAGATGCCTATTGAGAACAATGCCGTTTACATCCTTCGAAAGATTACTATTGTCGCTACTTTCATGACAAAGATAATTTTCTCAGATCCTGGTCAGAAATATCTTACAAAGGGCAAACTGTCATTCATGAAGGCAGATGACAACAGGAAGGTTGGAGCAGTATTTAACACAGCTTTGGTGTTCCCTGCACTTTTCTGTTCTTGCTTCCATTTCTACGAGCTTTCGAAGAAGCCTGCTGGCAAGGACCGATCGCTGGCTATTGTTGGGGAGACTTCGAATATGGTGCAGTATGTTGGACGAGTATCGTATTGCGTTGCTATTTTCGATCCTGAGCTAACGACGAGGGTTATTCCAGCTAGTATTATGGCAGGATGTAATGTTGTTATGTGCGGTTTGGAGACTGCGGGTGCTGTGATATTTTGAAGTTCTATAGTAGGATGGTATCTTGTTAATATACCGAATGAGAAAAAGTAAGCTAATAAAATAACCTCTTGACTAAGACGTAATTGGAGCCTTTCAGTTAGCACTTGCTAATTGGATTTCTTATACCGAAAGTGCTCTTTATTACCCTTGCGACCTATAAATGTTTAAGTGCATCTAGCCGGGCCGATTGAGAAGTATCTCAGCATAACCCCACTTGCTAAGCTCCACTCTTCTCTTCACTAGGGCGAATGTTATGCCGATTGTTTTTGCCAATCTATACCATATCGGCGACTGGATTATAAATCAATATACAGTTCACAGGGTTAAATAAGATATAGCAGACTGCTTACCCAGTTCACCGAAATATTACAATCCTAACGACGACATTCTATCGTCATGGCATCTACAAGTCCTATAAAAGTTCTACATGCGCCACATACTGGAATCACTGTACGATCGCTCTCACGCGCTATCCACTTATTCCAAAACATCTTAAACCTTCGAATTTTACGCACCGCTCACCTCTGCCCCCCGGTCTCAACAGTTGTCGGACACCCAGAAGCAGAGATCGATATCGCTTTAGTCGAGCTTCCAGGGGGACATCTTATCGAGCTCCTGGAATACTCATCGCCACCGAAGGCCAAGCAACAGGAAATAAAGCCTTATAGCTGGGATTTAGGGAGCTGGCATCTATGTCTGACCGTTCAAAATTTGGAGGAAACTCTATATGCTCTAGAAGGTGACGAAGCAGCTTGGAGTCAGCTTACTGCGCCGCAGATATTAGAACAGGGCCCTAATGCTGGCAGGAAAGTGGTCTATGTGCGGAACGAGGATGGGCTGACGCTGGAACTGTTTGGGTGAAGAACTCATTACTTGCCTGCTTATATATACTTTATAATACCTATCTCATCTACTGTATCAATTACCCCACGTTTTAGGTCTTAATATACAATCTAGTGGTCCATAGCCCTACTTAAGAACTATTAACAGGAGTGCACTGCGTTTCTTCTTTTTACCTAATTATAGTCTAGAGCTTTAGACCTATATCTCTCGTAACGGAAATGCAATGCATTACTTGCTCTAGAGTAATGAAATTAGAAAACTTAAAATATAAAATGCAAAACATTTTTGTCGGATAAACCCTGTTAAGTTTAACAGCTGTATTTGAGAATAAATAGAAGCCACTGTATTAAGCATTGCAAAACGGTAACTTAAAAGATAGTGCATTTACTGGAACTAAATAACCCTCTAAGAAATATTATTTCATAAGTTAATACTGCTTAGTAAAGCAGATCAAAGTCACTTAAACATTTGCAGAACGTAGTTTAGCTTCCTGGAAATATAACTTCATGGCTTTTATACTACTGTGAGACCAGCTAATTGCACTCAGCATCGAGACTAAAAGGTCCACTGAAGACTTTAAAGTAGCTATATTATAAAGTATAACTGCAGTAAAGTCAGACGAATATCTAACCGCTGTATACTTAACAAGAGGTAGGGTTATAGCTAAAGCCCGAATTCTTACCTAGTGTTATTCCCGATAGGAATAAATAGTAGATTACTATGCCTGACTTAGAATACTTGAGAGCTAACTTCTGGAAGAAAGCATCCGTGGGTAGCACTAAACATACCAAAGTAGTATACAGTTAGCATGGTAGATCTTAAATATATACCATATCTAAAGCCAAGATTGCGGCTGGATACCACTCCCTTGCAACGCGATACGGTGCATATCAGCTCTCATAGACTAGTTCCTCCCCTGATTTCTTATTATTAAGAGGAGACGCCAAATAGGTCAATGTATTCAGCGATTCCCGTAACCCCGCTAATCCCACTCATACACCTGAGAAACTAATATAGTACCTTTTATATTATACCCCCGATGGATCCTTAACCACCACAAGTCATAGAAGGGCAGGTCGCAGCCGAAGTTAGGACTTTCGCAGAAGCTATAGATGTGACATTTACCCCGAGTCACTCGAGCCCTGACCCGATCAACAAGATTGCTTTACAACCATGAAGAACTCCCCACAATAGGGAAACGGTGAGCCTGGCCCAGTTGGGCAACTCGCACAAGAGCTGGCATAACAGCTCATCAAGTTTAAATGACGCTGCAACGACAGCCATCGGATAGCACCACATAGCCATTTCGAGAATCCCACAAATATATCAGCGTACTCAATTATCAAAGACAGAAACGGACCGTGTTCCAGCTTTGTATCTATAACACCATTCGATTTTAGCATGGATTATCCTATATTAGAACGGGACCTGTCCTTGTTTTTGATTTCAACAGTAAGCGCAGTCATAATGGTAATCCATTTCATTACACTGAAACAGGCCCCTGTACGCTTTCGAGTTATACAGGAACAGGTCTCTGCACACTTTGCGACATATTAAAGATACATTGTGACTTCCCGTCGGTTGCTAAAATCTCAAAATACCATTTTTTATATTCTTCATGCTATTAGGAATAACTTTGAGCACTTTGTGGAGACTTCTGCCCTTGACTAATGTCTAGTATTGCAAACTAGACTTAAGATATCATCGTGATAGGTCATAAGCTAGACATTCTGTGTGAGAGACGTCTTCCCTAGACTATAACAACTATAATAGTGAGGGCAGTAGAATTGAGAAAGCAATTATAAGAACAAAATTATGAAATATAGGATGAGATAAAGATAGGGGGAAAGAAGCGAAGAAACACTAAATTATAACCGAATTGATTAGAGAGTAATAACTAATGTGGCTGGCAGCATTATCGAAAGCTTCATATAAGCCCAATATATTATCACGAACTTTCTTATGAACGGACTGCACTTGTAAGCGACTTCCAAGCCCCTCCAAAAGTGACATAAACATCTCAATCACTAGGGCAGAGTCTGTGGAGTTGCAGGTCTCAGCAATAGATTATCTGCCCTTAGAAGCCTTCGCTGTAAATTAATTAAAGGATTTATAGCTTGCCTATTTAAAAAATTAAGAAAAATTTCTTAAGAAGGATTTATCGTTAAGAATGTTAAGTGGAACTCAGACTAAACAGTAAGGAAATTCCCCTATAAGACTATGATTTACTACAAAGATGTCTTTAGCTGGTGCAGCAGTTTAAAATGCTTTACAAATATTATAACCTAAGCGGTTATATTATATATACCTTACTTTTTTACTCCTTACTGGCTTACTCTAGAGTATAAAGATATTTAACTAATATAAGGTTAATACTTATATAGATTAACTCCGCTCTAGGACTATACTACTCTAGAATTAATAATAACTTAACTTATTATTAATATTCTTATAAAACCCTTAGTAAATATAATTATTTACTTAGTATTAATTAATATATTTAGCTTAATAGCTAATAATAGAATATTTTAAATAAAATATATTTTACTTGGTTTATTTATTATTAAGAGATATAATACTCTATAATACTTAGTGTTATAATGCCTTTTATATTAACTGATATATACCTAGTATAGATGATTTTGTCCTTTAGGAACTATAATTATTATATGCATCTGCTTTAATAATACTATCTATTTAAGGACTAGACTTTAAGTCTAGCTTAACTCTATATGCCTTCCAGAGGTATTTATTTCTTTATCTTAAGATTATACTAATAGTTTAATAGTCTATATTAAATGTATATTAAAACCCTCTGCTTTTAAGCTTACTAAGTGCTTTAATTAATTAGCTAGTACTTAAAATAGGCAGTAAAGTTAATATCTCTTTATTACTTTTAATAAGGTTAAGTGCTTTAGCCTATATATAATAGTTATAATTCCTAAGGGATAAACTAGTCTATACTAAGTTTATATTAGGTAAAGAGTAAGTTTTACTTAAAGGCTAATAATATATTAAGAAAGCTAAAGGGTAGGTTATATATAGAGGAAGGCCGCTAATATAACTAATAAGTCTTTTATTAATTAGTGAAACTTATAGGGAATATATAATATAATTATAGGGGTTATAATACTATAACTTAGTTCTATTAATATACTTGTTTATAAGTCTATATAGTTTACTATAAAGATATACTTAGATTTTTTAATATATAACTATATACTTATATAACCTATAGTATACAAGGCGCAGGTTATTTATATAGTTAAAATATTCTATTATATTAATTAAATATTAATAGCAGTATTAATAGTAATATAGAAATAAATTAAATAATATCTTTCTCTAAATCTATAGCGGTTAAAACCATTTTAACTGCTTCTAAGGTAAACTTATTTTTTATCTATTAATAATAGTTAATATAAGTATAACCACTATATCTCTATGCAGCAGTTAAGGTAAGCTCCTAACTAGGTGCTGTATACAGGCTACCCTTATTAATTAACATATATAAAATCTAATATCTACAGTTAAATCCTATAATTAATTATATTTAAAGCATTTATTTTCGGAAAAAAACATTTAATATAATCCTAGGGTTAAAGTTTATAGACTTATAAGATTCTATAAAGATTCTATTATATCTTATAGGTAAACTAGAGTTCATCGGCTGCCCTGTGTTATACTAGCGTCCTTTTATTTCCTACTAAAACTAGTTTATTAGTTATTAAACGACGCGAGAGCATATTTATTAAGGTATTCGCTAGCGAGGGTTAACATATAAGGACTAACATTGCCTATCGATCTTTATTTATCTAGTTACCCCGTAGTCCTCATCTGCGGCAGAGGCCGAATACCTATTATAATATATGCTGCTTTACACCGGGGGTTTTCCTTATCCCTGCAGGGCCCCGCTAAAATATTTGCTTTCTATAGTGCATTAACTAATATCTATTAACTAATAACTACCAAGCCGGAAACACGGCCATGCAGATGCTAATACATTGCTTATATGCCCTAATAGACGCAGAGTCATAGATCTTACTCACTATAGGAAGGCGCCTAGGCACTTGTAAACTAAATTTATTCCTGCGCGTATTCTCACTTAACATTCTTACTTATTTGCAAAATGCATTGTCTCTACTCCTTGACGTGTTAGTTCTTCCTTATCTTCATCTCCAACGGGGTTGCTGCCGAGGAACCGCAAAGTGATTATGCAGGCACCTTGGAGGTCAGTTTAGTCTTTCCACTCAATGAAACGACATTCGTTCCCTCTTTGATAATGACTTTTGTTTTCTCTTTCCGAAACCCCGAACCTGTCCCTATTCTGCAACCGTATCTTATTTATTCAGTCTACAATTATAGTAATACTACCAGTCATGCTCTTAATGGCAGGATTAATGGGGGGTCTATGAATCTCTCACAGAACCAAGCGGCCCAGAAATGGGGCTTCCCTTAAACGACTCTTTATAATAGACTAAGAAGCATGCTATCCTAAACCGAAGTCACTCAGATAAAATAGCTGTCAATGGCGGCGACGGTGGTACTAACAGTTCCATTGTCGTCATCCTATATGCTAATAAACGCTATCTCAAAGAAGAGGCAGAGGCGTTCTCAAAGATCCTTTCCCAGCCAACAACGGTTATAAGGCTATTGTGCCCAACATCAAACGTTATTGCAAGAGACGCGACCCCTTCGCCGCCAAAGATACAGTCCACAAATCTGCCGTGACAGATTTCAACACTGCTGCCGGGAAGTCGAATGCTAATAAGGCGGAACTTTCTGTTGCTCTGGTGCAGTAGCGGCCAGCACCGTATCGGCCGGGCGCACAAGCCACTTTAGCAGCTTTTTCATTAGCAGTTGCCTATTCATTGGCTTGGCGATGTAGTCATCCATGCCTTTCTCCATACAGTGCTCCATATCGCCCTTAAGCGCATAGGCGGTCATGGCGATTATAGGTAGATGAATGCCACTATTCCGTATCCGCACCGTCGCCTCGTAACCATTCATGACCGGCA